AAGTCGCACCAATAAGATAACACTGGGTTTATAAAATAACTAAAAAAAAAAGAGAAATCGCACAAATATTGGTTTGGTTTTTATTCATCTTTGAAAAGTAAATCATAATTCATATGCATGCATAAAGTTAATAATGAGTGTAGCATATAAATATACATATAGCCTGTCATTAAGAATCTGAGTTTGGTAATATAATAAAGGAAACAACAACGTCATATAGATAAATACGATTTACTTCAGCCATACCTTGTCTTGTTACAATATTCAATATTGATATGCGCTCCAAATCGTAGTAACAAATATCGATTGTAGGTTACAACCCATCGATTATCCAGATCAACGCCGCCACAGTTGAAAACTCTACCATTGTTCCGCCGACGATATTTAGCAAACCCAGTTTCATCAATAGTTGTTTGAGAAGAGTATTCCTTGGGGTAATGCTTACTAAATTTCCCATTCTTCATGCACACATTATTAGGACGTACTGTACCACACGCGCCATGCATCATTGAACTTGTGACAACTGCATACAGTTCAGGATCAAGATCAGGATCCGGAATTTCAGCACATATTATGGAATCAATAGCCGCAGGACCATGGAATTTATTCTCCGAGGCCAAAAAAAGCAATATGTGTGCATGAGGGAGACCCCGCTTTTGCCATTCAATTGCTTTGACATCTGTACAGCAAGATGCAAATAGTGGAAAAGGAATATTAGTTCAATGAGGTAAGAGAGTAATGGATGAACATTAATAGATAAAATAACGAATGAATAAGCACACATACATGCATTGATTTTCCCAAATATTTGTTTCTCGCGAATCTCTAACATAAACTCATCAAGCTTGATTTTGAAAACTCTGGCGGTGATGTCAGCCCGGTCAGGATCTTTGCCACTGTACCTTCTAATCAAATCAACCATTAACTGTATCTCTGGCCAGTTAGAATTGCAAGTGAATGTTATAAACAAATCAGGATAACCAATCCACTTGCAAATAGCCATCGCATCGTGAAAATTCTCATACTTGTGTCTTGGACTACCAGTGTGTGAGGCAGCTAAAATAACTGGCTTCCCAGAAAGCTTGATATCACTATCCCCTCGCAAATAAGAATTCAACAAATCCTTGTAGTAGTGTCCTCTTAGCTTCGACTGATGGGTACGCATCCAGTCTAAGCGTTCAGCCTCAATTAACGCAAATGCATTCACCATATATTGTTGAAACAATTTACCAGATAATAACAGAGAATTCGACTCCTGGAGACGGGTTTGAAGACGATATGCATAGAAATCACACTGGGTTATCATTTTATCTCCAACACTGATATTAGAGCTACTGTGACTATAGTTAATGCAGCGATGCCACCCATCCTCGCCATATGGGAATAAAATTGGATATTGTAGTGCCATCAGACTTGGATGGTATACGCTAATCCTTTCCATTTCTGAACCCTTCTGTTGAACAATTATATCTGGAGAAAATGATTGCTCTCCTGTTTCATCTACAATCAATGCTGCAATCTCATTCGCAGAGGGCAAATCATATGCTCTACTATTAATTTCACGCTTAGCCAATAGTTTCAGTTGAAGCTCCTGGACACCAGAGTTTTGTATCCTATCTCGCGCAGAACGAAATGTACGTACCAGGATATTATTGTCATCAAACATATGCTGGAGGCCTTCAACAATACACTGGCGTAACGGATTCTTGGCAGGATCAGTGGAGTAAAAGTCCATACGATTCTGCACCTCGTTATCTGAATCGTGAATGTAAAGCTGTGCAAATTTCGGACTATCCCCATCACCAGGAACCAAACATCCTATTCGATGATAAATCTGACCTCCGATTGAATATACATAAACTCCACGACCATCATTAATAGAGTGATTGACTTTACCTCCGAGAGAAATAAAGCAAAAAACCCCATTATAGGCTCTGATGTTAGTACGAAAGTGACGAGCTAATGGTGTATCCCCTTCAAGTAGAGTTTTAAGAAATTTGGGCACATCTCTGCGGGGAGGCAATTTCACTTTACCATGTTTGCAACATAAAGGAAATGCAGGCAACACATCATTCCGTGTAGATAAAGTACTCTCGAACCGCCACATAACTGCTCCACAATGTTGACACGTACATGAAGGTGGACCAATATCAAAAAATTCAACCAACGGAAGACCTAGTGAAATAGATAAGTAATATTAATAAATTTTTGTCACAGTAATTCATAAATTGAATGAGATTGAGAAACTGTGAAGCCGATTTAGGCGCGCTACAGTAAACACAATTATTAAAATAAATGTTCTCAAGGCAAGATAAATTGGTATACCGCTCATTTTAAGTAAGAATAAGTCAAATTTCAGGAAACACCAAAGTTTGTTCATAACACACAAATTTGCCGTTGACACATCAACATCTAAAATTTAGCAAACAACAACCTTGGTGTTCAAAAGGCAAGCCCCTCCTATGAACCTTCTGTTTCAAAATATGATGTCTTCTCTTACGGGCGACTTGGGATAGTATTCGCCGAAGTTGAGAGAGTTGGAATTGTAAGGCAGCTTCTTCTGCAGAATTTAAATATAAAACCATGTATTACTCATTGAATAGATGAACTAATTAGAAAAATTAAAACACAGATAACACACCTCTCTCAAATGCTTCTTCCTCTTCAGCAGATAAAACACAGCGTTGGTACTGATCTTCAGGATGAATAAACACTGCTCGACGTTTCCCTAAACAAATGAGATTCAAGGGAAAATATTAATGTCAGTTTGCATTGAAGCAGTTGCGTGCTAAACCATGACACTCACATGGTACAGACGATCGATAAATCTGTGGTTGGGCAGATGGGATGACATTTGCACTATCCATATTAAATTCTCCAATAACCTGATGCAATCTGAAATAGAGGTCGTGGTAAATGATACACCCGTTCCAGTAAATTTTGCAGCTGCCATTCATATAAATTAAATAATTGTTACAACAGAAGTTGAACTCCTCACCAATTATAAGTTTGTGCGAGTTAATGACACATACAACAAACCACACAAACATAACAGTCGAAGAAAAATATAACTATATAAGGCATAATTTAAATTGATGAACAAAACACATATAACAGAATGGCTTCCAAGCTTGGGGATGCAAAGGAAGAGCGAGAAGGACAACAATGTAATGGCCAACACAAATATAATTCAAAGGCATCCATAAAAACCATATCCAAAGAGAAGTTTGAAAAAGAAGCAAGCTGGCAATAAGAAAAGCACTATAAGTGCTTACCAATTCTAGTTCTTCTAACTATACCAAGTTTATCCCTTCTTTCAATTATGCAGTTTACGCTTTATACTTTTAGCACAAATGGATTCCAACTCTAATGTCACAATGTCACAATACAAATACAATGCAAATGAAGTTGAAGAACAATAAAACAAACTAATGGAGTGAGATAAAACTGTCCAATGATCTTATGTAATAACGGGAAAAAAGCCTGGTAGAACCAATACACTAACCAGTGGAGCATGCTTATCAATACCGCCTACTTTATACTTCTTTAGTGATTAGAGCTGAAAGTACATTATCAGATCATAGCCAGTCCCATTAGATTAATTAACCTAGAAACATATGAGAGAAAACCTTACTGATCAAGTTGGATTTCGACATTTACCTGCAACAGAGTTAACATCAGAAAGTAAATTGATTATGTCTCATACGTGGTGGCGGGTGGGGGACGGCGCGCCAAATTTCGTCGGCGATGGGCTGGTTCTGGACTCAAGTAGGCTGGGCCTCTGAAGTATGGGCTGGCGACAGAAATGGATCCCCGAGGCCTTATGGTTTACGCTTTCCTTTTCCCCCGCCAGGCCAACGGTAGTTTATAGCCGGCCCTTCGGTTTACTGACCCGGAAAACGACCCGGACGAAGTACCTGGCTGCCGCCGCCGAACGTCTCTTTCTTTCCTCTTCTTTCTCTGCGGCCCGGAAAAACTCAGCTCAAAATCGGCAGTCGGCTGCTCTCTGGAAGACAGTCTAAGCGAAGTGGAATTTAAAGTAAGCAGCTTTGTTACTTTCAAGAGAAAGGGAAAAATCAAAAATCCCCTTTTGATCTCTAGAGAATCCAATCAACAGAATGAAGCGAGGAAGGTAAGAGAGAATAAAGAAAACGGAATGAACCAAAGGTAAGGGAGATGAATCTTTGCAACCGAATCCCTGGAAAAAAAAACCCAGAACCCGAATCCCTAAAACTTAAAAGCAGCGACAACAACAAACAGAAATCTGAAAGAGGAAGAATAACTTACGGCAAAACCAATACCGATCTAACGCTTAGAGAACGAAAATCAAAGGTAGATGCAAGCACATAAAAGAACCAGATGATTGAGTCAAGGTTTGGTTTTCTGAAGGCCAAGAAACTTATTCGAATGAGGTGAAAGAGTGGAAGGAAGGGAAATCGGAAATAAAAAATACAAATTAATACAAATTAAATGAGAACGTGGGCCTGGAAGGAGAAAAAAGTGGGTAGTGGAGAGTTTTTTATACAAATTAAATGAGAACGTGGGCCCTGGAAGGAGAAAAAAGTGGGTAGTGGAGAGTTTTTTGGTTCTGAAATCAGGCGGGACTCCTTTTTTTTTCCCCACTTAACACTCTGCCACATCAGCTTCCTAAAATCACTCTATGGGCATGAAATTTTGAATGGGGGTTGCAGTTTTACTTTTCAGCTATAAATTATACTGTTGATATCGACGTCTACAATTAATTTTGTAAAAAAAAAAAGCTATGATTGTTTTTACGATATCTAATTTTTTAATAAAATTCTACCTAATACCCTACTGTATCATGGATCCACAGCTCATTAAAAATAACAACCCCCGAACCCCCAAAAAATTTACACCACCTAACCGTTTCTCTAATTTCCAAGTCTCCTTCGGAATTTGCATACCACATCCGACAAGTAGAATGAAACTCGGCCTCCGCATTCTGTATATATACCGGGAAAGCCAAATCAATTGGGAAGAATAATAACCACAGAAGCACCTAATCTAAGTATTCTCTTTCCCTCCTTTTCCCCTCGCTTCGGTCAACTCCCACATCGATTTGCCCCTCTCTCCGGCCAGCCGGCGACACATGTCATTCCTCCCGTCGTACATCCCTCTCGTTTACGACGACGACGTCCTGGCCCCCGACGATGCGGCGCCCCTCGACGCCGACGACTACTACTACGATATATTCCCCATTCGCCACGAGATGGACGTGAGCGAGCTGCCGAGGCCAAACATCCCCGTCGACCATTTCCCGCCGCTCTACTACACTCTCACCATCCCGCCATTGCCGCCGCCGCCGGCGCGGTGGGACGTCCGCCTCCTGAATGACGTGAGTGTCGCGGAACTGGACGCTGACGTGGATTGCTCCATTTGTTTGAACAGCATTCACGAGCCGCCACCGCCGCCAGGTGGTGTCGGTAATTCTTCTCCTGCTGCGTCATCATCGGAGAAAGTGAAGTCGCTGCCGTGCTCACACGTGTACCACGAGGATTGCATCCGCCAGTGGCTCGCCGTCAAGTCCACGTGCCCTCTCTGTCGCTCGCCGCTGAAGTAGTAGTCGAAAGGTACTGCTCCTGCTGCGCGCCCGCCGCCGGCGACGCTTCATTAGTTTATGACCGCGAGTCAGTTAATCAAGGTGTTGTCATGAATAAAGTGGCGCTGGCTAAATTTGTTTTTTTAATTTTTTTATGTTTACTTACAATGAATTCCTTGGATTGTGAATCTCATTAGATTAGTTTGATTTCAGGATTTTGGGTTGGTGATTTTGTATGGAGAGACGAGCTTGAATCTCTCGGCGGTTCCGACTGCTTGTTCATTTTATTAATCCCTTGCTGTCTTTCGATCCTTAAAATTGATTCATTTGTCTCAGGTGGAGATCGATTTCTCCTCCGTCGCTCTTATCTCCGCCATTGCTCGGTTCTCCAAGACGCAAAGCTCGAAATTCTGTAGACGACTCATCACCAAGACGCCGTAAAAGACGCCACTACTCGACCGGGCGTGCTGGCGATTGGTGTCAAGTCGACGCCAGCAACTCAAGGTCGCAGTGTTCAAATCTCCAGTTTGTGTGAGTGACGTCACTGCAAGGAAATAATTAAGCGCGAGAGTCCTGAGTTTGTGTGAGTTTTGATTGCACAGTAGGAGCTCCATGTTTCAGCATTCATCACTGTGGTTAAAGGCTGCCTTTAGTGGTTGCTGGGCGAAGTTATCCTCTTCAAACTCCTGGATGGTCACCTTTTTAACATTTTAATAAACTTTCTTTTGCATCCAAAACTAATTGGTTATTAAAAGTCACATGAATTAGTTGTCATTAGTATTTGTTGATTAATAGCCTAGATTTTTCAATCAATAGTTTGAACTATGTATGACACACAAAAAATCAATATTTTATTATTGCTAAAATTAATTGCGATATCTCTCCGTTTCGCTACAAATCAGCATTTTGGTTGAGCATGAGTAACGTGGCTATAGCGACAAACTTCGCTACCAAAATATTTTGGTCATAAAAACGTATTAGTAACCAATATTCTACTTTAAAGACAAGATTTTGGTTGCGAAAACCAATTTTTGTTGTAGTGATTGTGCAATTTTGACTGTCCTGTCCTTCTTGTATTCTAACACATAAGGCAATTTTTTCAACTAATTTTAATGAAAAATCGATGTTGTAAAAACATGTGTTGGTTATTCAAAAAATTCATTATGAAAAAATAACCTTTGTATACAAATATATAATTAATATAACTGTACCCGGGAATATGTAAATGTTTGATCTGGTTTCTAGAAGTATTTTTTAAATAATGAAATTAGGCGATTGCACATCGAGGCATGCACACTCGAGTCATACTGTGTTGATTATTCTACTGCCTCACCTAAGTCAAGTATAATCTAGTCACTCAATGTAGCATAGAGGTGACCGATGTCGTATTTCACGAGTTCGAAGTCTAGCACTGATCGAGAGCTTAGTCGTTATCTAGTTGATCCTTTAGTTTGTTTTTTAGATTAATCACTCACACTAACTACTACACTAGTATGCATAAAAGATAATCGACATCTGGGGTTCGATTCCCTCCACCTAACACAATAGGTCATGCATTGTAACAAATAAATACGATCATGTATGGAATTTATGGTGTGAGGATCACTAAGCTGGAAACTAGTCCAATGATCGAGTCTCCTAGCTCCGCTCCTAGCTACATCTACCAACTCAATGATCATATAATTGATTTTCTTAGTTAGGGATAAATCATATCCACTTTAAATGTGTTTCCATAGCACACAATTCAAGTGACTCAATGATCGTGTAATCACCCAAAATGCATCAATTCAGTGGGTCCCTACTTCACACCTCTATTAAAAAAAAAGATTATACAATTTTATAATGCACACATTTCATCAGTACATCTATATCAGCATATACATCTATTTAGAGGACACAAAAACTAAGCGACCCCTATATTTTATAAAGGGTTATAGGTATAATATGCCCCTCTGCTATGTCGTTTTATCAAACATGCTCCTTTACTATTTTTTACATCAAACATGCCCCTATACTTTGGAAAGATTATCAAACATGCCCTTCTATTAAAATTTTCATTGAAAAAATTGTCAATCATGGTTGAACCGAGATTTAGACGACCCGATATCGGCAAATGGGAGGGAAAATGTCAGTTTTGTCCCCTGTTTTATTTCTCCGAGTCTCGTCAAAGTGAAATTATTAGGATTATTTGGCTATATAAAAGAACCAAAAAAATTGTAAAGTGAAATTATTCGGGATATTTTAGACATTTGTGCCGCCCAAACAAAGGCCGTGGTTAACGGTTTTTGGATAAAAATTTTAACATAAGTGCATGTTTGATAATTTTTTCAAAGTACAGGGCATGTTTGATGTAAAAAATAGTAGAGGGGTATGTTTGATAAAACGATATAGTAGAGAGGCATATTGTACCTATAACCCTTTTATAAATTAGGAACTAATGATAATACCCTATTTTGGTTTGAACTTGAAGCAAACGAAAATTTTGATATCAATTTTCAAATAATATAGTTTTGCCTGAATTTTGAAAGAAATGGACGAATTTGGCACAAATTTTGGGTTGAGTGTTAAAATTGACGTAAAAGATAAATTTGGCTCGAAATTTCAAATAAGACAGTTTTGTCCGAATTTTGAAAGAAATGAATAAATTTAGCCCGAAGTTTAGGTTTCAGTTAATGTTGACGGGGATGGGTAGAGAGAGAGAGAGAGAGATTTTAGATTGCTATGTGGCTTACAATACATCCTTTATTTTTAAACTTTAAAAAACTTGAAATATAAAATCGTGAAACTCTACTTTAGGGGAAAAAATTGTAAAGAAGAAAACAAAATATGGCTCTTAGATTTTTTGTTTGGTGTAAAATAGAGTGCTATCGGGCACTCCAAACGTTAACTATTAATTAAGCGAGGAGTTTATACCCCAATAAAATCAAAGTACAATCAATAGTTTAAAACCAGGTCTGGCGATTCTCTCCCTAAAAACATTATTAAGTTGGACCGACCACTGCCAGGAAAGGAGATCTATGGCCAGAATAAAGTGCTGGTGGCGGTCCTCAGCTCCTCGTATCAGTTGTACAACTACTTGAGAGTCGTTTTGCTACATCACTCGGGGATACCGTGGATCCCAAGCTAGAGCCAGGTCATGAACAAGCCTTGAGAGTTCTGCACAAGTGATAAACTTCCAGCAAACTGCCACCCGCCCCCCTTGTTACTCCTCCCGTCGTCGCCTTGCCATTTGAAACAGAGCCATCCACGTTAGACCAAAAAATAGGACTCTTAGGGCATGTTCACTTCTCATTCCGTTTTCTGTGATTTTGACAACGAAAAACGAAATCTGGAGAAATGGAAACTGCCATTTTCTGAAAAACGATTCCTGGAAACCTGATACTGAAAACCTGTTTAGCTGGGATTTTTGTGAAACTGGAAACTGTAAACTGAAAATGAAAACCTGTTTAGTTGGTTACTAGACCTGGAAATGAGAATTTGTTCGTTTTCCTGACACTAGTACATAATTCAGTATTAAATAAGTAGAAGTACAATCACAAATGTCAAAGGAGTCCAGCTTGGAAGTCATCCCACAACTTGTCCGCTATTCTGTCACGTCGAATTTCCATTTGTCGTGTTCGGCTTGAACTCATACGATACTCCTCTCTTTCCAGAACTCCTTGCACTCCATTAACTCCCTTCTCTATATAATAATTCTGATATTCTTCAAATAGGACATCTTCACAAGAGTGAATCCTAATGAAGTTATGTAGAGCACATGTAGCAATAACAATTTGTGCTTGTTTCTTTAGTGAAAAAGAAGGCATATGTTTCAGAATTGGGAACCTGGCCTTCAAAACTCCAAAGCAACGTTTGATGACATTGCGTAGGGATGAGTGATAATAGTTGAATAGTTGTTTACGAGTTTTAGGTCCACCACCTCGATTGATTTCTTGAAAATGAGTAGGCTCCTTTGTTCGATATGGTGCTAGGAACCCAGGCATGTTCGCAAATCCGGAGTCAACAACATAATACTTACCTACATTGTATATAGCAAGTCAATTAGTATATAATTACATGAGATTTATTTATGTACAAACAATAATAAGTACCTCGTGGTGGCATCAGGAACTTGTTATCTGGATTTGAAACTGTTTCACTGAGAATTCTAGCATCATTTGCCGTGCCTTCCCATCCAGCCACCACAAAAGTAAAAAGCATATCGAAGGAGCATACACACACCACATTTTGAGTTGTTGTTGCCTTGTGTCCTCGATATGGAATTTGTTCAGCAATAGGAACAGATGCATCAATATGCACTCCATCTATAGCTCCAATGCAATCCTATGTAATCACAAAAGTGGACATGATCAACAAACATGTGTAAATATTGTACTAGTAACTATGGAGTAAGTATTTATTTACCTTGAAATATGGATCATGTCTAGAACCAACAATTTTGTCAGGGACGTTATCAAAATTTGGTGGAACAATAATCTTGTTTGCAATCTTGACCACAGCTTTCAATACTTTGTCAAAGTACTTTGAGATGGTGGTTGTAGAATGTTGAAACCTTTCGGCAATATCGCGAAAGTCATTAGCGTGACCTATAGTCTTGAGGAAGATGACAACTTGTTCTTCAACTGTGACTCTCGTAGTGGACTTTAACCCTCCATTTTGTTTCAACTCCTCACAAAGAGCAAGAAACGTATCTTTGTTCATCCGAAGTTGCTCATATATCCTTGTTGGATTACCATGAAGAAGCTCTTTAACCCAGGCATGCCCAGTTTTGTCTGAGGTTCTACATGGCACTTTAGACACATTGGATCTCTCTTTCTCCAACAACCACAAATGCATCATGAAGATCCCCAAATCATCATCAGAATCAGCATCAGAACCAGAAGCCATATGTCTGCATTGAAGAATAATAAATTACAATCAAACTTTATTGAAATTGTGCTTACACCATAATAAGATAATGGTTCAAATAAAACATACAACCACAATCACTCAAACATTCAACTCAACAACATTGTTCAACTAAAACATACATAGCTCAAACACTCAAACACAAACACACAATGTCGGCGTTGTACAATCACACCAAACCTTCCAGCCATTCCTTCTTTCTCTTCTCTGTCATGCGCAGAAAGAGACCGCGCTTTAGTGGATTATCATGGAGAACATCAATAGCCTTGACAAACACACTACCATCCACCTCCATCTCATCTAAAACCTTCATACACTCTGTCATAATATCTAGGTCCTTGTCCTGCGAAGATACTTCATTCATAGGGCCTTTCACAGAAGATGCAACAGTCTTGGCATCATGCCTATCATTCTTCCTTTTAGCACTCTCCGCCATGCTAATTATTGCCATCTCTACTGCAGTTGAATAGGTAGATTTGTTTGCTTTCCTCTTCTTGCCTTTGACCTTTGATTTGCCCTTTGCTTCCTTGGCGTGATCAGTGGCATCATCAGCAAGAACAAAACCTTCCTCATTGTCCTCTCTACTTTGTCCACCACTGCTATCTGAGACTTCTTGAGTAGAGACAAAAGCATTGCCACCAGTAGCAGTAGTGTCACCAAATATGATGCAAAGGTTGTTGTATTCTGGACAACCATACTTCCTAAACCCGGTACAACCTTTTAGACCCTACACATTAACGTTCTAATCAATTCTAAGTTCAAAATCGAAACACATATTTATTGAAATTGAACGAAATGTTCAATTACCTGCTTACTCCATTTCTCCCAATGATCCTCAGAAGCGCTCACCTTTCCCGTTGTAGCAATGTAACTAACTCCCGTCTCACTAATCATGCCCTTGAAATCCCTATGCCTTCTTCTAAGTTGGTTAAATTTATTCTTCAGTTGAAAATCGTTATAGTCCCTATTAAACTTACTCATTATTCCATTTTTTATGTTGGCCCATCCTAATTTTGTGAAGGTAGTAGTAATCTTGCTACCCTTCTTCACTTCCTCGACCATCAATTCAATCATAAAATTCTTAACTTGTTCGGGCCATACATCTTTTCCTTCTACCACCACACAATCATTATCATTGACAGCTTCTGTATTCTCCATGAGTGAAACTATACAAGAAACAACAATCATGATATTATAACCAACAAACAGAACAATCGATAACCACAACAAACAACTACAATCACTATCCCTACTCCATAATAAAATGAAATTCCAAACAACAAATTAACAACACACAACAAATAAATTCAACTAATCCACATAAAACCATCTGCTACCAAAATAAATTGCAAAAATAGAAGAAGAAAAAAAAAAGAACAGTGGACTTACTCGTCGGTTCGTCGAGTTGTGGCTGGAGGGGAGTTGCTGGCCGTAGGGGAGAGGAGCAGCCGGCGGGGAGGAGCAGGATGCTGGGTCTCGCAGGTGCGCGTCGCCTCGGCCGTCGTTCACCTCGAAGAAGCTGGGAGGAGCAGGAGGCTGGGAGGAGGAGGTGCGCGTCGCCTCGGCCGTCGTTCACCTCGAAGAAGCTGGGAGGAGCAGGAGGCTGGGAGGAGGAGGAGGAGCCGGCGGAGAGAAGCTCGGCGAGAGGAGAAAGATGGCCTCCTCGACAAATCCCGGCCGCCTCGACAAGTCCAGGGCGAGAGGAGAAAGATAGATGCTGGCTGTGGCGACTTAGAGATGGTGTAGGGTTTTGTTATGTCAATTGAAACGAAGAAAAAAAAAATTGTGGTCGCTAGGTCTCGAAGAGACAATCTCATTAATGAAAACGGAAGAAAACCCGTCCTCTACCATCCGGGAAAACCAATTTTTTCGTTTTCACATATTACCACTTTTTCTTGTCATTCGGTTGCCATTAATGAAAATGACAACAAAAATGAACACGTTTCCTCTTTTTTGTTTTCAAAATTTTGTTTTGACAACAGAAAACAGGAAACGAAATGGAAAATAAACAGGCCCTTAGCTTATCCTAACATTTTTAGTTTTTACTTGCATAAATCAAACTAGAAAAATGAAATTGATACAGGTCCCAAAAAATCCAATGCATGAGACCATCTCTCTCTTTACCCATCCACATAAATATTAACGATCAATCTAAATTTCGTGCCACATTTGCCATTTCTTTCAAAATTTGGACCAAACTTACTTAATTGAAACTACGTGCCAAAATTATCTTTCAAGTCAAAGATCAAGTAAAAAATATGGCATAATCCCTATGACGTGGAAGCCACGCCGCGGCCATCTCAACATCATATTTTGAGTTATAGACAAAACAAATGTTTGACCATCGATATTAATGACCAACACAAATTCCGAACAAATTTATCCATGTCTTTCGAAATCGAACAAAGTTGTCTTGTCATGAAAGTTCAAACCAAAATTGTCAATTACAACAAAATCGAGACCAAAATAGCCTATTATCCCCAGAAATTAAGCACATGCTAGTTGTTTGTTCTCGCACAACCACCACAACGGCACGACCGCAACCCCCCATATGGAGATATTCAGCAATTTTAACAAAAACAAAGGGAAAATAAAAGTGTTAAATCGAGCAAAACGACAATAGAGTGCAAGGCGGGAACTCCATCCAAAATTAGCGGAGTGGGGCCCACAGCTCCTTTGCTAATTTCAGATTTCCCCTTACCGTTTCAAATTTAAATTCCTCCGTTATTTATGTAAAATAAATAAAAAAACGGAAAAACAAAGCGCAAACAAAACGAATAAAAGCTAAAAAAGCAAAAAAGCCAAACAAGGAGAAGAACAGAGGTTGCAGGCCATTTTTTTCTTCCTCTTCTCCTCTCCCAAATTTCTATAATTTTCTTTTCTTTTTTCTCTCTGGTTTCAGAGAGAAAAAGAAAAGAAAACCCGGGGAAAGAAAGAAGAAATAATAACGTAGAGGCAGAAAGGAGGGAAGATAGAGAAGGGGGAAAGTTAAAGGAGCTGCTTCTTCTTCTTCTTCTCTCTGTCTCTCTTTCTGGTCCTGTTCCTGTGTACGTTTCGTTGGGGGATCAGAATCGGTGCTTCGTTTCCGCCATTGCGAGAACAGAGAATGGAGGCTGCTTGTGATTCTTCTTCGGGATCTGCCTTGCTCATCCTCGTCTTCTTTTGATCTTCGCACTCGGTAGGTTCGCTCGCCATTTTTATGCTCGCATCTGCATTTCCCCATTTATTATCCCATTTAAGATGCTAGTTGGAAGAGTTAGAGTTTGATGCGGATCTGCGGGAGGAGGAGAGTTTTGTTGGTGTTATCCTCTTTGCTGATTGGGTGCAATGGCGGAAATTCTGAGAGAAACTTTCTTAGCATTCTCAAATGTAAAGGAAAACCCTAGCGTTCTCAATCTCTCAGCCGTCTCACCGCATTCTTCTTCCCTTCTCTCTCGTTCTCCTCTGAGCTAGCTGTGGCGGCTGCCGGGACCTTCAATCCGTTCGGTTCATTTAAAGGGCTCTCTCGCTGTCACCATAAAATATGAATCCAATTCCATCGCCGACTTCGTGCTGGAGGTCGCCATTCGTCGAAGCCGGAGAAAGAGTCGGCCGTTCTTCGATTTATTGCATCTGGGTTTAGGGTTTCGGACAGCGTCGGCTATTTAAAGCGGCGGATTGAGGGACTGCTGCTGGGTATTCTTGTATTCCTTTGGTTTTGCTGCTTCTGGACACAAAGCGAGTAGCAAAAGGAGGGACGGGGATCGGTAGCGAAAGGCGGTAGAGGAAGGGAGGTTGGAGTTGTGGAGGCTGCTTAGGGAGAAGTTGAATTGTCCACCCGCCTGCCAGATTTCGTGCTCGATCGATTGGGGTGAGTGACGTGGGATGAATATAAGGCACGATTGGGAATGAAGAATTGCTTCAAATGAATGGCTGATTTGGCTCGTTTGTTGGGGTGAATTGTTCCGGTTTTAAATTTGGTCAATTTGTTTCCTTTCCTTTTAATTGAGGTTGTGCGTTAATGGAATTAATCGTTTCTAGTAATTATGGATTGGTTTCATGTCTTCAAGGTAGAAGGGAGGCAGTGTGTTCGTGGAAGATTTGAACTTCTAATCGTCAGCTAATGGATTTCTGGTTTCTACTTGTAGCATTGTTTCACTATAACTTGTGAAGACGAAAGAAGACAGGTGTGGGGGAAGATGAACGTTCAACCTCAAAGGAACAGAAATGAGATGGGAATATATGCCAGATTTGGAAGTGTAGCACGTCCAAGAGAACCAAAGTTTGAAGATAATGGTTATGGTAAGAACAATGAACCACTAAACATCTTCTGTACAGTGGTGGTTTAAATTTGGTCACTTGTTTGGAGAAGAACTGAGTTTCTGAAAATCCTGGTTTGGGCTCAGGTAGCGTGAAGTCACTGGTTGAGTGGTTGAACAATTTGTTTCCCTATTTGGATTTACCGCCAGAGGCAACCGAGGAGGAGCTGAGAGACTGTTTGATTGATGGCACTGTCTTGTGCAGCATCCTGAACAAACTAAGACCTGGTTTGATTGACATGGTAATGTTGTGTCTGCACTTTTCCCCTTACAACTATGTCTAACGTACTTTCTGGGTCTGAACAACTAGCATTTCCCTTTTCACTTTCAAAACTACGAAAGAGAACCAGTTTCAGGCCTGGGGCAGACTATCTCAAGAGGTTTCTGGATGCAATGGACGAAATGGGACTTCTTAGGTTTGTACTTGAAGACATACAACAGGTATAGAGATTTACCATTATGGAGTTGAACAGAGCTGTTCGTGTTGGATTTCTGACTTGCTTGTATATGCTTTTGGACGTTTCGCTTGATGAACTTGTTAGCATGCCGGAGCCACTTCGACCTTGATCATGTGGCATAAGGTGATAGTGAGTTCGGAGCTGTTCTTATCAGTAACTTAGTGCTTTTTTTTCCTCGTGGAAGATGCATTAACTTGCTAAACCAAGCGCTCTAGATATGTAAAATTTGGTTTAGTAGTTGAGTAATGAAATGTACCAGCAACTGACTTCCTACTTGAAGCAGAAACTAGAAACACGAGAAGAAGCACAAAGAGAGTCTTAACAATGGATTTTGTAGAATTGCAAGTTACATCCCAGAAAACTTAAAATTATGATTTAGGATTGGTTTTGCTAATTCATGAGCACTATTTCCAGGGTTACATGTTGCCTGTACTGCAGTGCCTTGGGACACTTAAGGAGCATTTAAAAAATTCAGATATTCATTCAAGAAGAAGAGGGGATGTACATGAGGTGGAGCTTTCAAACAGAGCTGATCATTCTCAACGTGGTTCATCATTTAACTCGGATAACTTAGCTGTCAATGGTGAAGACAAGCATAAGAATCCCAGTAATGACACAGATCAACATGGTCATTTGACTTCTGTTTCATCAGGTAGTCAGGAGACTCATTTTCATATGATATATGACACTATTGCTGAACTTGAATCCCATCAGAGTTGGAATCATGGGCATGCCATATTTCGTAAATCTCCAGAAGTTTGTTGAGATTAGCTCATCAAGGCGTTTTATGCTTCATGTCGTGTTAATGTTATAATTTTTTAAGTGAAGTCTTGGCTTCATTTGGGGGACTAGATGAAATATCCTGGAGCTCGGCTTTTTATTGACCATTTGCAGTTAGTACATAGCCTGACCCACTTCACTTCAAACACATGTATTTAGTAATTTCCTTTTTTGCTTATATTAAACTGGCATTTGATTATATGGAAATATTGATCGCTTCATCTAGGTCACAGCCGATCCTCTCTGTAACCATGTAGTCTTGTATCGAGGCAGGATTGGGGATGTAATCAACCTTGGTGGTTGTGCCATCTTTTTTACTTCGTCCTATGAGTCTTGACAAGCCTTTGACTCCCATGTTTTTTCTTGGTTGAAAGCATGCGTGTACGCGTCTGAACATCCTTTGTTGTTGTGCATTGTTGTTGCTATTTATTTATCTATATGAGAATTTGTCTGTATGTTTGAAGATGAAGCTAATAATTTACAAAATCATCCTTTGTCTTTGTTTGTGGTGGCTTCTCTTTTAGAGCCATCTCCTTCTCTGGTACCTGATGGCGGAAACAAATTCTCTGAGGTGTTGAAGCAAGGTTTATCTGGTGAGCTTTCGGATGATAACATTACAAAGCTGATAAGTTCAAGTAGCGTGGATGTAAGTTGCTTAACTATTCCCTGTTTGGCTTTTGAGTGTGTCCCAGTATTGAATTAGGCCTGTTCTTCTGTATTCATTCTAAGATTTATGTTGCTCTCATGTGGCTTTAAACTTTTCTGTGGCAGAATGAATCAACCCACATGTTGTTCAGTTTTCTGAACCAGATACTTGATGAAACCATTGACAAAAAAGACGGGCATGCTTATCATGTATGGTTGTGAGATATTCATGGTTTTTTCTTCTTATGTTCATCATTGGTAGCTACTTCATTGTCGTAGATTTTTGTCATCAATTCTCTTTCTGCATTATTTTTTGTATTTATCCCAGTATCATTTCAATCCTCTTGAAACACAGATGGCAAGGATGTTGAAGCAAGTCGTGCAAATTATTGAACAAAGAGTGTCTGCTCAAGCTGAGAACTTGAAAGATGTAATACCCCTGGAAACCATTATTTTCTTATCAACATTTGTGTTTGTGCATGCACCATGCTGCATATGCCTTTACTTTTGAAACGTAATGTATATGCGTTCTGTTTTCTGAAATATTACTGCACATACTTTCACTTTGGAATTTCGTTGGCAATCAATGCTGATTCTATGTGTTGTCTAGCACAACAATCTTTGTAGGGTTCGCTCTGAAAAGTACCAGTCTAGAATAAAAGTATTAGAGACCCTTGCTTCAGGGAGCACCGAAGAAATTGAGGTATATTTGCTGCAAAGGGTTGTTTCTGTTTTGTTTTTTTTATCCAAGGTAATGTTACCTAAATATTTTTGTTTATTGTTGTCTTGACACAGGTTTTGCTTTCACACCTAAAACAGATAAAGGTTTGACCTTATTATCTACATCCTTTTGCTTTAGTGATAATCTCGCATTCTTCAAAATGGTATTTTGTTGTTCAGCTATATCCAAGTTCTGCTATAGTATTCTGCACTACCATGGCCCGACATTCTCATGGTGATATCGTTTATATATGGCTGTTTTTTCAAAAGAGAAGAAAATCTGGACCCCTTATGTTTCTTACAGATAACTGAGTGGTGCACAGACCTCTTCCATTGAAAAAACTGGGCCTCACTAGTTCAATTGTAGATCAGTAGATGTGCTGTTTCTGTTAGGCTAAAAGTGTTCAGATCATTATGAAATGAACATTCATGTTAATTAGACTCAGTAACCAGTTCTTAGAAATCTATTTTAATCACTCTGTTTTGGTAAGTACAAGTGAAACAGCTTATGCATTGCCCTTGTTTCGTGCAGATGGAGAAAACTGAAATAGAAGAGAAGGAAAGGCTGAAAAGCCGAGATCTGGCTACTTTGAATGAAGAAAAAAATTCATTAGAGATCGAGAATTTTGCATTGGAACGCGAACTGGAGACACTGAAGAGGACACATGAAGACCATTGTTTGCAGATAGAAACCCAAGCTAAGGAAATAAATCAAGCATTGGAAAAGAAGGCACGTGATCTTGAGCGCTATTTAATGGAGTCAAAGAAGAGGGTGAAACAGCTCGAGTCCTTTTCAGAATCTAAATCAGAGGGATGGAAGAAGAAAGAAGAGACCTTCAGACTTTTCCTCAACAATCATCAGAGAGCTTTGCAGGTTTGCTTTTAGAATTTTTCTCTTGACTTCATTTTTCTATTTGTTGCAAAATATACTGTCTTAATACCTGGTATTGGTACTGTTAGGAACTGAAAATAGCTTATGCCTCTGTCAAACAAGAAGTGAGGATGACAAAGAGGAGATATGCAGAGCAGTTCTATGGCTTGGGTGGGCTTATTGTTTTGTTATCTCGTCTCTTTTAACTGGTATGTTTTGGTAGACACCAAATATTTTTTCATGAGACATTTACTTTCCGTTCTGAATAGGTATGGAGCTTGAAGGAGTAGTGCATGCTGCTGACAATTATCATTCTGTTCTTGCGGAAAATCGAAAATTATACAATGAAGTGCAGGACTTGAAAGGTACATATATCCCTAACACCTTGTGCTATGTGTGTTTGTTTACTTGAAGGTTATAATGAATAGACTTCCTCAACCCAACTTCTTAAAAGTAAGTATTCACCCTAAAGCCCATCAAGCTATCGTCTGATCATATGGTTGTTGATGCTTGTTTCATATATCTTTCCACAGGAAACATAAGAGTTTATTGTAGGGTAAGGCCGTTTCTTCCAGGGCAATGTAAGAATCTAACAACCGTAGAGTATATTGGTGAAAATGGTGAATTACTTGTCTCAAATCCGACAAAGCCAGGGAAAGATACCCATAGGATGTTCAAATTTAACAAGGTTTTTGGTCAAGCTGCAAGTCAAGGTCAGAATCTTTTTCCTCATTGAGATTGTGGGATCAAAGCATTATCAGTATCTTCGATTCTCATAAACTCCTTGACATTGTGTTGGTTTGCAGAGGAAGTGTTCTTGGATACTCGGCCATTAATTAGAACAGTTCTTGATGGATTCAATGTGTGTATTTTTGCTTATGGTCAAACTGGATCAGGGAAGACATATACAATGGTATGCTAATCACTCATATTTCACCTTTTTTTTACATTTACTTTCTCAAATGTGGACAATGTAAAATCTAAGTTTTTGTATATCTTATTTTGCTCATTTGTTTCCAGAGCGGTCCTAATATGTCATCTAAAGAAGAAGATTGGGGAGTCAATTATCGAGCATTACGTGATCTTTTTCATATTGCTCAAAGTAGGAAAGGCTCTATGACATATGAGATTGGTGTTCAAATGGTGGAGATATATAATGAACAAGTCCGTGACCTTCTCACGTGCCATGGTTCTCATAGAAGATATCCTTTTTTGTTAGATTTCAGCTTCATGGCTATCTTCCAACTCTTACACGATGGCCTTTTTTGAATGTTCTGTTATAATGAAACACTTTCCAATTGTATCAAATGTTTTCTTTGACTTCCACACGCTTGGGATTTGGAGCACAACCCAACCAAATGGGTTAGCAGTTCCTGATGCCAGCATGCATCAAGTAACCTCGACCGAAGATGTCTTGGAGTTGATGAATATCGGGTTCATGAACCGTGCTGTTGGTGCCACTGCCTTGAATGAAAGAAGTAGCAGATCACACAGGTTTTCTCTCTCTTAATAGCATAATTATATTTAATGATGCTCATGAAATTTATTGTTGAGAAGTTCCTCAACATCTATCTCTCTGCAGCATACTCACTATCCATGTCCGTGGCGTGGATTTGGAGTCTGGCACAATCTTGCGAGGGAATCTACACTTGGTAGATCTTGCTGGCAGTGAAAGGGTTGATCGGTCTGAAGTAACTGGAGAGAGACTTAGGGAGGCACAACACATAAACAAGTCCCTCTCTGCACTTGGGGATGTCATATTTGCCCTTGCACAAAAAAGTCAACATGTCCCATATAGAAACAGCAAACTTACTCAAGTTCTTCAGAGTTCTCTAGGCAATATTTTGTCTTGCCCAACTTTTCATTGAATTGTTCTTATCCGGCAAATGGAAAATTTGTTTCCGAATACCTGGTTAATGACCTTTTTTCATAATTGCGTATTTTCAGGTGGTCAAGCCAAGACCCTTATGTTTGTGCAGCTGAATCCCGATCTTGATTCATATTCCGAAACTTTGAGCACGTTGAAGTTTGCTGAGAGAGTTTCTGGAGTCGAGTTGGGGGCTGCAAGGAGCAACAAGGAGGGAAGAGACATTAGAGAACTTGCAGATCAGGTTCCTTATCTCCCAACTCTTGCTGAAACCATGTGCAACAACGTAAGTTCATAAGAGTGTTTACCTTTTCTCTTGAAATCAATGTTTTAGGTTGCGTCGCTAAAAGAAACCGTTGCAAAGAAAGACGAAGTGATTGAGAAATTGCAGCAGCTCAAGATTAACACCAATGGCCCAAAGTCTGTCCGTTTTGATTCCTCTCCAAGAAGATTCTCAGTTGGAGGAAATATTCGGCTCAGTCCCAAGTCACCGGGAAGGAAAACCTCACCACTGTCTGATAGGGAAATCGACATATACTCCGAGTTTGGTGAAAAGCTTTCTGATGTGCGATCACTGCCGCCTTCAATAGATGAGTTAAAACATGGACATAGGGGACCTTTGGCAGCACATCGAAGGCCAATGACCGGTTTACCAACCAAGTTTACTGAAGCAAAGGCGGGCCAGAATTCCAATGAAGATGTCGAGCTCTTCGGTTTTGGAGGAAGTGGAGATTCGGATGAGAGAATAAGTGACATATCGGAAGGCGGGCTCTCAATGGGAACTGACACTGATGGTTCTTCTGGTAATGCAGCTCAAGCTGAAGCAACAAGCCCGTCTAGAATTGCGAATTCGGTAGAAGCCACCACCAGACCAGCTGCAGGGATGAGACAACCAGAGAATTATAGTAATACTGAAAGGTGAGTGAGGTGCTCTATACTTGTACGTACATTTTGATGGCCATCATTTACTTTTGCTATTAGCTACAATCAAACAGCTGATGAGTTTTGCTGGTTGGGTTTCCTAGGCGTGGTGTTACATATAAGCTCCCCAAGCCATCTCCAAAGGTGGCACAAACGAGAGTATCTCGTTTGTCATTGCAGAAGCCAGCTGCTCATGCCTCAAAGTTTCAATCAAGTATGCCTCTTCTATCTCTTTTTCCATACCATATTTTTTTGCTATAATACCTTAGATTTTTAACTAACCTCTCCCGCCGTGTCTGGTTGTGCTCAGTAGCTACGTCAACGACCCCCAGGAAACCTACGGCGACTACAGGAGGTAACTCCACATCAGCAACCAGATCGATCAGGCAAACGGGGCTCAGAACTGAAAGAAGTTTCTAGTTTGTAATCCTAACTCCTCCACGCTTGCTTGTTTAACTTTCTTCCTTGTAGGCTTTTTTATGTATTCTTCTTACTAGTCTTCCATTCACCTCATGGAAAAGGGTATTTTTTCTTGGGTATTTTGAAACTGGATGAAGGATGGACATTCGATTGATCTTTGTAGAATGAAAATTGTTGTATATACTAAGGAAAAAGAACAAAGGAAAAGAGCAAGATCATCTGATTAGTTGGTTGTTAAATGAAAGTGAGGTCCCCCTCACCAACTTTTGTAGTACTGTAGAATTGTTGTCTACCCTTGAGCAAAATGAAGAAAACACAAGTTGGTTAAGGGAAGCGAAAGAAGAACAACAAAAGAAATGGTTTCTCAATGATCTTAGCCGAGCTCTGCTATTACACCATGTCACCGGAGCTATCGGTTTAGGCAGCTGAACTGGTGTCTCTGGATAAGGCATCTCTACCTCGGAATCAAAATAGACACCCTTCTTCCAGTCTGTTTCTGCCATCACCATTACTTAATATATAACATATAAACTAAAACTTTATCTTACGTAATAAATGTAGAACGGTATTATGTAAGTCTTCTATAATATTTGACAATTTTTACATAATGAAGTTGAACATCCAGTCATGTAAGGTGTAAGGCCGTTACGGAAGGTCTGCGTAACTCAATGTCAATATGTTACATAAGAAATAATTATTGCTCCATAGCCTTTATGTAATCCATGTGTATCGTAACTAATAATTGTTGAATGATATTATTACGTAACCCTTATGTAATGGACGTCCATTTTACGTAATGGATATTACGTTGTGTTACACAAAATATTAAGTCACTACGAAAGTTTTACGTAACATATCTAACTTTATTGTGACTTGAAAAATAATTATTGTTTTGTAGTCTTTACGCAACGTACTTGTATATTACGTAACAACAATAAATTGATATTGCGTAAACTTTACTTAACGTAGTGAACCCCCTTTTTCTCTTTTTTCTTCTTCTTCCCACATAATTTGGGAGGAGCTAGAGTGCTAACACTTTTTTTTTTGTTAGTATGGTACTAACACTAGCTCTACCAATCAGAACATTTCGTCTAGATGAGTTTTCCATTTAAATGTGTTGACCACAATTAATGAGGGGGAAGAGGAAGGAGGGGTGCACTTGATATTAGGGGTGGCAGTTCGGTTACCGGTTATCGGTTAACCGGCCGGTTAAATCGATAACCGACCGATATCCACTAACCGGTAACCGAAGTAACCGAACTTCGGTCGGTTATCGGAGGCTGGACGAAATGGTTTTTGGTCTTAAAAGTGGTTCGGTTAACCGATAACCGAGATAACAGAGAAACCGAAGCCTATTTCGGGCGGTTTTCGGTAGAGGGAGTGGTTATTTTGGTTAACCGATAACCGACCGATCGGTTACCGATTATAACCGAAATAACCGAACTGCCACCCCTACTTGATATTATGAAAAATTAGGGAAGGGAGAAAGGAAGGAAGGAGGACCACGAAGCATGCCACAACCTCCTCCAAGCATGCCACAACCTCAAAGCATGCTACAACCCCCTCAAAACATGCTACAACCTCAAAGCATGCCACAAGTTTTTAAAGCATACAACAAGTAGCAGACCTGTTTGAAAATTTGAAACAGTTTAGGTACCAAAATGTAAGGGAAATTTTTTTAAGCACTAAAATGTAATTTTCCATCGATATTTTTAGGACTCGAATGTAAAAGAAATAATTTTCGATACTAAATATTAATACCTACTAAGTTCAGGTACCAAAATAGTAATTTGTAAATGAAACATAGAAAAGCTACGTAAATGGAAGTGAAGGGGAAGGGGTAGGGGAGGGCAATGGGCGGGTTGGGTGAGTTTTGGTCTCAAATTGACCCCATCCGCTTACTAGTGAGTTGAAATAATTGTGATCCGCAATCCACCCACATACTTCTGCGGGTTGAGTTGGGTGGGTGGCGTATGGGTGCGGTTGGGTCGCGGATCAACTCGTAAAAGCAATTCTCCAACTAGCCATTAAGAAAGTTGAATAACTTTTATAATACGTTCATAGCAAATTAGTAAGACTGTATCAATAATTCATTAATTTATGATTTTGATACAATTAATAATTTATAGTTTGCATCCCAATATTTAATGGATATTAATAATTATTTGCATACCAATGTTCAATATCTAATGGATATTGCACAACACAATAACCAATAATAGTAGTCAAAACTATTCTTTATTCTCCATCTCTTGAAGTATATAGTCAGACTCTAGTACAATTCGAAAATATGATGAATATTCGATACTACAAGAAACAACATTGTCGAATAACACTCTGGAAAAAATTGAATCTGCGCTGGAGCATCTTCCTTTTCCCTTCTTTCCTTTTCTCATGAGTGAGGAGCGAGTCGAAGCTTCATCTTCCTCTGAAGTGTCGAAGAGTGAAACTAAGGGGATTCCATCGAAACCCTGGGCATCGTTGTTTGGAGGCCAATCGCCTCACGTATTTTCCTCCAGAGGTCATTAATGGTGGTCTGCGAATGCCTAAGGCGGTGCGGGAAGCAGGAGCGGCGAGATGGAAGAACTGTCTGGTAGGGAAATTCCTCCAGGACCCGCCTCCTCTCCATGTTCTGCGTCGATGGGTTAAGAAGCTCTGGGGGAGGGATGGAGTGGTTAGTGTTTCTATACTGTATGACAAGATGTTGCTGATCCAATTGCCAAATCAAGAGGTGTGTGAATGGATTCTTGAGAATGGTCCTTGGTTTTGGTTCAATAACTTGCTCTATCTAAGGCCATGGGTTCCGGGCATTAGTTTTGAGGATTTGGGTAGGAAGGCCTTGCCAATCTGGGTTCATCTTTCGAATGTTCCTCTTGAATATAATGACTTCCAGGGGTTGAGCAGAATTGCCAGTTGGGTGGGAGTTCCTTTGGGGGTGGATCAAACTACCAGATTGGGGAATAGGCATGGTTTTGTGAAGGTTTTAGTGGAGCTTACTGCAGGGAGTGACTGTCCAGACCATGTGTTGGTTTGGCCAGATGATGAATCGTCTATTTGTGTTGGGGTTTCATACTGCAACCTTCCTCCAGTTTGTCCTGTATGCAAGCTTTTTGGAGTTACTGGTTCATGTGCAACTCATTAGGGGAAGCAGTGGGTTGCAAACCACAAAAAGATCAGGCAGAGGGCTCTCTGGCTCAGCCAGTGGGTTCGGGACCAGAGGTGATTCAGAGTGTAGTAGAAGATAAATCTGTGGAAAGCAAGGGTAAGGAAGTGTTGGTTTGCGAGGATGACCCTCAGTTGCAGGCTATTTTTTCAGGTCCATCTGTTATTGAGGGAGTGAGGATTGCTCCACAGAATTTGGAGAAGTCGTTCTTGGCGGTGGCTGGGTCTCCATCCCCCAAGTTGCCTTCCGAGGATGAATTTCAAAGAGTGGTAAATGGGGCAAGGCCTCGGGTCTGGTTATCCCCTGACAGTGCCAAAAATTCTATTCAAACTACAACTTCTTCCTTCAGTGTGCTAAGTAAGTTGGGGGGATAAAGAAGCTAGTAGGGTTCTGGAAGCTCCAAAGAAGAAGGAGGTTAGAAAGGATCAGTGGAAGGGAGGAGGGGGAAACCTCCAACTTCTAAATGAAAGTCCTATTATGGAATGTAAGGGTGTTTAATAAAACCTCCAAACAAAGGGACTTGATGCAAGTCCTTTGTATGAATAAGGTAGATATAGTGGCGGTTCCGGAAACTCGAATAAAGGCAGAAAAGGCTAAAGAGGCGATTGAGGAGGTGTTTTCTGGATGGGAGAGGTGTACTAACTATATTGATTCAAAGCTTGGCAGGGTTTGGCTATTCTGGGTTCCTGAGATAAAGTTGCAAGTGTTGAAGCCAGGAAAGAACTTTGTGCACTGTTTGGTGGAGGACCGGAATAAGGATAGTTTCTTTCTAACTGCAGTATATGCTTCCAATGACGAGACAAAGCGCCTAACTACTTACAAAGAGTTAGCCAAACTGAAAGTTGCTGGACACCCATGGATTGTGGGAGGAGACTTTAATACAGTGAGAGTGCCAGAGGAGACTTCAAATCAGATAAGCTCTAATTCTAGTATGGATGACTTTAATAGTTGGATTGGTGAGATGGAACTGCTTGATTACTGGACCACTGGTCCTCAGTTCACATGGACAAATAGACAGGTCAATAGACCAATAGCTCGGAAGCTTGATAGAGCCTTAGTTAATCTGGACTGGATTGAAAATTTTAAAGACTGTGTTATGGAAGTGTTACCTACTCACTTCTCAGATCATTGTGGTGTGCAAGTAAGTACTACTGCCCAAGTTAAATCCATGCCAAAGCCCTTTAAATATTTTGAATTCTGGGCTGAGCACCCATTGTTTTTGGAGATTGTCGAGAATGCTTGGAAGGTAGTAGTGACTGGAAATCCGCTACAGATTATTCAAGGGAAACTGAAAGAGGTGAAAAAAGCATTAAGGAAGTTCAACATGGATGTGTATGGGAATCTTTAGGACCAAGTAAAAGAATTGGAGGCTATTAAGTAGGCTACAGAGCAGTATGAGCAGATATCCAGAGCCTATGAAAGCTTTTGCTGGCAAAAATCCAGAGTGTCCTGGTTGACTGTGGGGGACAAGAGTTCTAACTTCTTCCATCAAGCTGTTAAAATACGCAACTCTAAAAGGGCAATCAGAAAGCTTGTGAAAGATACAGGGGAGGAAATATATCAAACCGATCAAATTGTTGAGGAAGTAATTGGATTCTACAAGAAGCTGTTGGGTGAGGTTAATGTTGATATTAATCCAAGTGAAGAGGAGGTGAAGAGACTGGTTCACAGGCAAATCCCTCGGGCTGAATGTGAGGCTCTTATTCAGGACATTACTGATGAAGAAATTAGGGCAGTGGTGTTTAGCATGAACACACACAAGGCTCCAGGCCCAGATGGGTTCTCTGCAGGGTTCTTTAAGAGGACCTGGGGAATATTGGGGAGGATGTTATCAGGGGGATCCTCTTCTTCTTCAGCTCAGGTATTCTCCCTAGTGGGGTTAACTCCACTGCTGTTTCTTTACTTCCCAAAATCCCTAATGCAGATACCCTAAAACACTTTAGGCCTATTTCATGTATAAATTTTTTATACAAAATCATTGCTAAGGTCCTAGCAAATAGAATTAAGGGGTTAATTCCATTGATTATTAGTAGTTCCCAGTCTGCATTTATAAAGGGAAGAAGTATCATGGATAACATATTGATGGCTCAGGAACTGGTGAGTGGATTTGATAGACAATTTCTGTCTTCTCGTTGTGCTATTAAGGTTGATATAATGAAGGCATTCGATTCTGTGAGTTGGAAACACCTGTTTTTCATGATGAATGCCATGGGTTTCCCTACTATCTTCTTAAAGTGGATTAAGAGTTGTTTGCAGACTGCTCACTACAACATTAATGTGAATGGGAGCCTCTGTGGGTTCTTTAGAGCTAGGAAGGGTGTGAGGCAGGGTGATCCATTGTCACCTTACCTTTTCACCATTGCAATGGAGGGGCTGTCTTCTATGTTATCTGAGGCAGGCCAGTCAGGAATTCTCCCATACCATCCGCAGTGTAAGAGAGTGGCTCTGAATCACCTCTGCTTTGCCGATGATTTACTAATATTCACTAAGGGGTCTGCTCAGGCCATAATGCAGGTCAAAGGGATTCTACAGCGTTTCTATAAGATCTCAGGGCTTATAGTAACCCTGCAAAGTGTGAGATTTACTTCGGTGGGGACTCAATTCTCTATAAGCAGAATGCCCTGACTCTTACAGGGTTTCAAGAAGGGAAACTCCCAGTCCGTTACCTGGGATTGCCATTACTGTCTGGCAAGTTATCTTCAGTTGAAATTGATAGTTTGGTGGATAAGATTACAAAGCGGATCAGGTCTTGGCGAGCCAAAAAACTCTCATATGTAGGGAGATTGCAGCTGCTTAACTCTGTAATTTTGGGGATGGTGCAATTCTGGATGCATACATTTATTCTCTCGAAGCAAGCACTCAAGAGAATACAAAAAATATGTTCTCAATTTCTCTGGCATGGGCAGGATGAAGGAAAAGCTAAAGTAGGTTGGGAGCAAGTGGCTCTTCCAAAGCGTGAAGGGGGTCTTGGGGTAAAGGATTTGATTGCCTGGAATCAGGCTTGTACTATAAGAATGCTCTAGTTGTTTTTGATGAACTCAGGGGCTTTATGGGTGGCATGGATGAAAGAGTATAAGTGTAAGCATTGTGATTTATGGTCTCTAAGAGTACAATACAATAGTTCCTGGGTTTGGAGAAGGCTTCTCAAGCTTCGGGCAGTGGTTCTCCCATGGCTACACGTGCAAAATGATATAGTCTATTGGGATGCTAAGGAGATGGACACTTACTCTATCCGTCGAGTCTGGGAAACTTTAAGACACAGGGCCCCTAGAGTAGCGTGGTATAAGTTGGTTTGGAATAGTAGCTGTCCTCCGCGTTATAGCTTGATTGCTTGGTTAATTATGATGAATGCTATTGCCACGAGGGATAAGCTGCTGAAATGGGGGAAAATCAGGACTGTTGAATGCCCTCTTTGCAATCAAGGAGTGGAGAGCAGGGGTCATCTTTTTACTCAGTGCACTTTTGCAAAGGAGCTTGCTGCTGAGATAGGGTGTAGTCTGCTGCTGCATCCTGACTGGAATTCTATGGTTCATTCTTTTTCCTTGGCAGGTTCAGCACCACCTGGGAGTGGCAGGCCCTTGTGTGGTGTCTTCTGGTGGCGTTCATTTGGAAGGAGAGGTGTGGAGTTGTTTATGGAGCTTCAAAGCACACTCCTAGGCAAGTTGCAAGTCTCATCAAACAGGAATTGACGTTCCTCACTTATGGGAACAAAGGGGCTCGAGATATCTTAGTGGGGTTGGGATACTTATAAAGTTTAGACTTTTTAGCTGTTTGTTTCACTGCAGTAGTATAGTGCACAAATAGGTTGAGATGAGTTTTCTGTTGGAAACTTTGGGATGACTATCCCGCTTTCGTTGTATTGGTTTCTTGGGAAATAAAAGCGACTGATTCAACGAAAAAAAAGAAACAACATTTTTCATGTAAAATTATGATGTGGGTCATACAAATGACCCGCAACCCAATCACCAGTCACCACCCACACACATAAGTGTGGATGAGAGATTTATCATTCCGCAATCCACTCACATCAATCACCCACAGTGTGCGGGTCAGGTTATATACGGGTGGATCGATATCAATCAACGGATTAACCACCCACGTGCCCACCCATAATCCGTAGAAAGAAGAAGGAGAAGAGAAAATACTATAATATCCTTAATAAATGTGTTAATATGGTGTTTTAGTACTCTATCCACTCCCACTTCACTTTGGAGTTTTTTTTAATCATCAGAAAATAGTAAAAATACCCGTATTATCATACTAAACCCATGTCTATATAAACAGAGCTCTCTGGTTTGCGCCGGGAAGGAAGCAGCGAGGTAGGGTTGTTGGAGGAGAGTAATAGCGCCAAATCAAATCGGCTTTTGTTGTTTGATTCGCCACTCTGCTGCATCAATGGTTATTGCTCCGAACGAGTGGATAAGCACGGAAGACGCGCTGCTCCAGGCGCTGGTTGGCAAGTACGGCAAGAACAATCAATGGCAACGCATTAGTGCGCTTTTCGTTCGCAAATCCGCCAAGCAGTGCGAGGCTCGCTGGTATCGCTGTTTCGACCCATCGGCCATCAAAGTGAGTCGTCCCCTCCTCCCTTCCCTGCTAATTTGCATCAGAGAGAGTTTTTCTAATTAGGAAATAGTTAGGTTTTCAATTACGAGTTGTCAATTTTGTGATCTTGCCTTTGATGATTTGCAGAGAAGGGAGGAGGCAGCAACAGTAGGCCATCTTGGTGAGCGCTTGGATGCTGTCGCCCTCAACCATGAATGAGAATCCATTCTCACGGAGGAGGAGGAGAAGCCACAGCCCCATTGATTCTCTTGGATATGTACAGTGAAGCTCTGTTTTTTTTTTGTGTGCGCGCGCGAGTTTTGCTTGGTTCTCTATATTGTTTTCTTGATGTAAATTGTCTATCAACTTTTGGTTTATCTTTCACCTTACCTTACCACATATATTTTACACTTAGCTCGATTATTTTTTTGTTGCATACTTGTAAAATAAGCAAGACACGATTTAACGTGGTATCCCCGACGATGTGTCGGGACTAATCCACGGGAGAGTATAAAACTCTCCGGCTACTGATGTTATTATGTTGTACTTTCACAAAGCGGCGATGGCCGCGTACAATGAATATTTATACCCTTTCTACAGGTAACTAGGGTTACATCAGCATCTAAATTATCCTCCTCTAACACGTAACCCATGCATGCAGCGGAGAAAGGAGAGGTTGCATGGGCTTCGGGCTGAGTGGACGTACAACTGGTTATGGGCTGCGTATTTGGCCCATTCTCATGTTCCAATACTCCCCCGCAAGCTGGAGCGTGAAGGTCACGAACGTTCAACTTGGAAAGAAGGAACCGAAATCGTTCTGCTCCCAAACCTTTGGTGAGATGTCCGCTAGCTGCAAATGAGAACCGACTTTGAGAGGGAGTATAGCACCTGACTGGACTCGTTCACGGACGAAGTAGCAGTCCATTTCCACATGCTTCGTGCGCTCGTGTAAGATCATTGTGTCGCGGAAGAAAAATACCTTGCCCAGGGGAGGTCTTGAGGTAACGAAGGACACGCATCGCCGCCTCCATGTGCCCATGACTGGAGCGTTGACGAAATGACTCAAGATGTTGACACTGTACGTGATGTCCGGCCGGGTGACCGTAAGATATAGGAGCCGCCCAACCAGCCTGCGATAACGGGAAGGGTCAGGGAGGAGCTCGTCATCCGCCGGAGAGCGTGTGAGGTGATGATTCTGCTCAACCGGGAACGCACTAGGACGGGCACCCTCAATACCAGCATCTTCAAGAATATCAAGTGTGTATTTTCTCTGGCACAAGACCACACCATCACGAGTACGGGCAAGTTCCATGCCAAGGAAATACCGTAGATCACCCAAGTTCTTAATGCTGAACTCGGTATCAAGGAAGCTCTTGAAGGTGTCGATGAAGGAGGGATCATTCCCGGTCAAGATGACATCGTCCACATAGATGAGAGCTGCAACAAAGGTGCTCCCTCGCCGAAAAATAAAAAGAGAGTGGTCGGCAGGCGAAGAGCTAAAACCAAGACGACAGAGAGCATCCGTGAACTTGTGATACCAATTACGAGAGGCTTGACGTAGCCCATATAAAGATTTCCGAAGTCGACAAACTTGATCGGGTCCGGAACCAGTGAAACCAGGGGGAAGCCGCATGTAGACCTCCTCTTCGAGATCACCGTGGAGGAATGCGTTGTTGACGTCAAGCTGATGAAGTGGCCAACCACGACTGATGGCGACCGCCAGGAGACAACGAACGGTCACTAATTTTGCTACCGGTGCAAAAGTATCATGGAAGTCAATCCCCTCAATCTGAGTATACCCTTTTGCGACCAAACTTGCCTTGTAGCGTTCGATCGTCCCATCCGGACGATATTTAATCTTGAACACCCACTTGGCCTCGATGGTACGCTTTCCTGGAGGTAAATTAACAAGATCCCAAGTGCCATTTTGTTGAAGAGCACGAATCTCCTGAAGCATTGCTTCTCGCCAGCGGGGATCAGCTAGTGCTTCTCGCTAGTTCTTGGGTACATCGTGAGTAGTGACGGCTGCAAGAAAGGAACGGTAAGCAGGACGAAAGGAATCATAAGAGACTAAAGCCGAAAGAGGAAATGAAACAGCACAAAAAGCACTTCCCTCTTCAGCGGGATCATGGAGAGGCGCAAAATGCGTGTCGTAGAGGCCCAAATGCTTAGGGCGGACACGCACGCGATCACCTCGTCGCGGTGGCTGAGGTGCAGGCTGTGGTGAGGTGAAAGGTGAGGCAGCTGGGGACGAGACATTCTCTGCTGCGGAAGGAGACATGGGCTGCGCAGGAGTGGTCTTGACAGCAATAAGCTGAAGCAATAAGCACAGAACTCCACTACTGGAATTGGATTCCAGTGCAAAGCAGTAAACTGACTAACTCTCGTATAGCCAATCTCCTACTACCGAAAGATGAGACTCTAGCAACCTAATCAGATTCTATCTATCTCAGGTTGCAGCAGAAATCAGGAAAAGTTTATCAGACTTCAATTGACTCAATAAGCATGCATCATTCGATTATAATCAAACAATATAGCATCCAAAACTTCATACAAGAAAGATCCTAACTCATGGAACTAGGGTTCCTCAAAACCTAAGTGAAGGGAAGTTACTCCATAGAGAAGAGAGAGAATGCAGAAATCTGATCTAGATCTTCAATCTCCATCTCCAAGCTTGATTCCCGAGCTTCAATGGCGAAGAAATCCTCCAAAATAGCTCCAAGAACGTTCCCAAGTCGCTCTCTCTCTCTAGGGTTCGTCCCTTGGGTGTTTGGGATAAAAAACCCAGCTCTCTCCCCTCTTTGGTTCGGAATTTGGCTTAAAACCAGGAAATCCCGACTCACACGGGCAGGGCCACACGGCCGTGTGGCCTACCCAGTTGCCCGTGTGAGGCAAAACGCACCGTATCACTTAGTCGAATTCCAGGCTTCTCACACGGCCAGAGTGGCACGGCCGTGTGTGACTTCCATCTGCCCGTGTTTGCTCTCGGCAAAACTCGCACGGCCAAGCCACTCCTTCACACGGCCGTGTGTGTTGTCAGGGCAGGCCGTGTTTGCTCTCGCACAATCTCACACGGCCAGAAATATGAGTTGCACGGCCGTGTGATTTGTGGGTGTGCCCGTGTGGCCTCCTTTGTGACTTGCCTCGCGCCCGATCTTCGCCCTATCGACCCCGAGCTCGCTCCTAAACCTTCATTCACTTGCCAGGACCTGAAATATCACAAACAAGCACAACCTAGCGTGAAATCGGTCTAAAACACGAGAAACCACATCTCAAACGGTGTAAGAACAGGGGTAAAAACATGTGTAATTAACGGTCTATCAAACTCCCCCACACTTAACCGTTTGCTTGTCCCCAAGCAAACCTAACTCAAACCAATGCAGCTCTCCAGACCTCTATAGCAACAAACAACCCAGATCGTAGGTAGAGGACTTCCTAGATCATTTAGCAACTTACGAGGTCAACCAACGCACAAGTCATCTCATAGCTTCTTCGGCGAGAGCACTAGTATCGAGTCGGCATCATGGCAAATAGTGAACAGAGGACAAATGAATTGTGGATGAAGAGATTCTCAAAAACAAAAGATCATGGACTCACATTTTTCAAGGTGCTCTCTTTTTTTCTTCTTGAAGATGGTTGGAACCCCTTTTCTTTCTGTTTTGCTTGTTTTCTGTTATTTTTTTTCCAAGGGTCCCAACCTGCTCTTACCGGCCATGCCAGGAGCGGATGTCTCGAGCCTCGTGCGGGGGAAAGACATGTAAGGGGGCTGGAGGTAGTAGGTGGAAATTGGGAACGGATTCCCGTCTCCCCTTACACACTTTCGCCCTATTCGCACGGGAGACGTTATTTTGAAGCACATTTTCGAGCACCTGTTAAACTTAAAATATGATACAAGAGTCCATGACAGGCAGAGAATCCACAACACCACACAATTCAAGGGTCCTAAGATTACTAATTCACTCAATCAACCAACACAATATGAAGAAGAAATGAGATTTCCTAAATGCATCAACATCCTCCATAGTGCTACACCACCTCCCTAGGTTGCATATTACTATAGAGACTGTCAATTCAAAGCATACTGAGCAGGCAATTGCAAGGAACACGTACTTGGAGCCCTCAAATTTAAAAATTTGGACAGTGGACTAGGCTCCAAGCACACAAACAGCCAAACATTCACCCGCATACATAATCGAACATCCCCCCACACTTAAGCACGACATTGTCCTCAATGGAGGAAAGATAAGGAGGGTAGAACGAAGTTACCAGATCAAGGGTGAATGATGATGAACGGTGCCATCCAGAAAGAGAGAGTAATCAGAACACAAACACCACACAAAATCTCACAAAGGTTGAGTTATTGACTCTAAAATCAAATAGCAAAACTGACTCAACCGAGGAGAAATAGAGACAGAAATGCAAACCGACTGGTTGGGTTGCCTCCCAACAAGCGCTTCTTTCACGTCGTGAGCCGGACGATGGCTCCTAAGTTTCGGTCCATGCTAGAACCTCCTTGAAGTTGAGGTTCTCATCGATGAGGTGGAGTCTCAAGTCACGAGCATGTGGTGTGGCAGGTGATGAAGGCTCATGTACTTGATGCAGATGAAGTCTCCACCCTCGAGACCTCTTCTTCTCTTCTCTCGTCTCATTGCCCCAAACCAGATATGACAGCATCGACCGACCACCATCGCGTCCACCAAGAGGGACCGATGTCGATGTGGCCTTGGTCTGGCAAAGAGACACTGCAAATGGGTCCTTGCCAAGCAGTTCCGCAAAGTTTGGTGGAGATATTACTTGCAACTCATGGCCGGTGCATGCCTCTTCCACCTCAACTTCATCCTCAGCCTCGACGCCAATTGCTTCTTCAACCCCCCCTTTCTTCTTCATGTGGTATCACCCCTGGGAAAAGATCAAGAACCACCTCTTCTTTTTTTTCTTCCTCATCCTCCACAACTTCCTTCCTCATCCTTGCTCGCTCTTCTTCTTCTAGAACAGATTGGAGAGCAAGTCGCCAAGCAATTTCTTCAATGAGATCATCTTGCATCCCCTCGCTCGGGCCCAGCATGTTAGAGCAGAAATAAGGAATTGTGTGATCTGCAACCAGAGGACTTTCCTGATCATGATTATCATGGGAGTTCTCTGTGATAACTTCTGTATGCTCCTCAACATCCCCATAGCCTTTGTCATCCTCCACCTCTTCTAGCATGGTAGCAGAAAGGTGATCTTGAGCAAGATGTGAGCAAACTTGCTCCACCCACTCTGTTTGCTTCGCTGAGCGCTGAACAGTCTCCTCCATATCATGGAGAAATGAGGGATCGGAAGCAGCAAGGGCTTTGATTTGACGATCCATCTTGGAGCAGGCTCTCTCAGTGTCTCGAGCAAACTGCTCCATGAGAAGCCTTAATTGTTTGTTCGGATCTTCCAGTGAAGTGTAGCATGGCTCTGCAGAGTGGCCAGTGAAGGCCGCCATGGGTAACTCAAGATCTGATGGCCCTTCTTGTTGTGGGAGGAATTCTTCTTGATAAGGAGATTGTTCTTGATATGCCCAGGGGTCTGGTTGTTCTCCGTAGAAAGGGGGTTGGTACTGGAACCCG